GCGGTACGCAAAGCTCGCAGGTTGTACGACGCACTCGAATCGGTTGATGTTGACAAGTGGCATAGGCTATGGTCCTCTTATCCGGGAATATGTTTTCTTCCTGGAGTCCAAGTTGGCGTTTCATCGGAATCATCCCGAATTTAACGGTATTTGACGAAACGAATTTCGAATCACCCAGTCCATGACTAAGTGTTTGGCAGGTCTGTTTGAATATGAGGAGTACATCAGTCTGAAGACGATCAATGATCCAAATGAAGGGTGAGTACGCCCAATAACTCTTAATCCTACTCTCGCTGACTGTAATCTAGTTACGAAACTATCTCGGACCTCATGACTTTGCAAGACCAGATAGATGCGTTCCAGAAATTGATTTTTTCGCATTTCCAATCAGGCACAAATAACGAGTGTCGGATTTCTGCACTAGTGCCATTGGTGCAGGAGAGCTACGGCATTTATAAATTTATTACCAGCATGCTGAGAGCCATGCATACGAGTAGGCGTTACCTTCCCTTTTTCTGTCTAGGTTAGCTGACCTTGTCATAGCCACGGGTGACGCCGAGGCCCTGGAACCCCTCCGTGGTCGTTATGACGCTCAGCACTACCGACTTGTGCGGTTCTACTACGAGTGCTCGAACTTGCGCTATCTGACCAGCCTTATCACTATTCCCAAGCTGCCTCAAAACCCACCCAACCTGCTTGCCGACGATGATGAACGTCCAGCTTTACCCAGACGACCGACGAAAGAAGTCGAACAGGAGCCCACTCCGCCGCCAAAGGCCGCACCCGCTGATCCCGAACCCATTAACGACTTTTGGACTACAGAGGCCAAGCGCCAGCAAGAGGAATTTGAAGCGGAACAGCGGCGCCTGCAGCAGCAATGGGAGGATCAGCAGCGGCAGCAGATTCTCGCGCAACAGCAAGCCCAACACGATTTTGAGGAACAGCAACGTCTGCAGGCGGAGCAGCAACGGCTTGCACAGGAGCAACTTCTACGCGACCAGTACCAAACACAGACTCAGGGTCGGCTGGCCGAGCTCGAGCAAGAGAACTTGAACGCGCGGGCCCAGTATGAGCGGGATCAGCTTATGTTGCAGCAATACGATCGTCGTGTGAAAGACCTGGAAGAGCAGATGAACCAACTGACCTCGAACTTGAATATGCAAAGCGCCTCGAAAGATGAGCAAATTCGATCTCTCCAGGAGCAAGTCAACACATGGCGATCCAAGTATGAGGCGCTGGCTAAGCTTTACTCCCAGCTCCGACAGGAGCACCTAGACCTCTTGCAGACAACCAAGAGCCTCAAGTTAAAGGCAGCGTCGGCACAGGAGGCGATCGAACGGCGCGAGAAGCTTGAAAGAGAGCTCAAAACGAAGAACTTGGAGCTAGCGGATATGATCCGGGAGCGGGACCGTGCGTTACACGACCGGGATCGTTTGACTGGAAATAATAAGGAAGAGCTGGAGAAGGTTAAGAGAGAGCTGCGCCTTGCAATCGAGCGGGCAGAGAATGCCGAACGCCAGAAAGGTACCGAGATCTCTACCTTGTTGTCCAAGTACAACCGGGAGATGGCCGATTTGGAAGAAGCCCTCAGAGTAAGTCTTCTCGCAGGACAAGAAACAGAATGCCATGCATTGACCAGGAATAGAACAAGAACCGTGCTCTCGAAGATGTCTCTTCTCGAAATGCAGACCGCCAGGGTGACCATGATGCGATGCTCCGCGAGAAGGATGAGGAGATCGAGGTCTACAAGTCCGGAATGGAACAAGCTCTTCTGGAACTGGAGGAACTGAAAATGGTATGTGCTTGAATCGGTAAATAACGGAGACAGGAGGATGTGAGCTAACTGCTACCAGAACCAAGGCGATGTCGACAATGCGCTGGATTCGCAGATTGACACCGTTTTGCACAGCACCGTTGCCAAGATCAACGACATCATCGACTCTGTGCTCCAAGCTGGTGTGCAGCGGGTGGATGACGCCCTGTATGAGCTCGATTCCAGTATGCAAGCCGGTAACCAGAATGCGTCCCCACCATACGTGCTGTCTCAGATCGAGAAGGCCTCTGCATCCGCCACCGAGTTCTCCACAGCGTTCAACAACTTTATCGCCGACGGCCCGAATAGTACCCACGCTGAGATTATTCGGACGGTTTCTATCTTCTCCGGCTCGGTTGCCGATGTCCTTAGTAACACAAAGGGATTGACACGGTTCGCCAATGACGACAAGAGCGCAGACCAATTGATCAATGCTGCCCGCAAGTCCGCACAGGCCACGGTGCGGTTCTTCCGTGGACTCCAGTCTTTCCGGCTCGAGGGTTTGGAGGCTGATCACAAGACCGATGTGGTTATTAACAACAATCTAGAGGTACAAAGGGACCTGCAGTCACTATCGAAACTTGTCGAAACTTTTGCGCCTAAGAGTACTAAGATCAGTACTAATGGCGACCTGGGCGACCTCGTAGATCAGGAACTGACCAAGGCGGCCAACGCTATCGACGCCGCGGCCGCTCGATTGGCCAAACTCAAGAAAAAGCCCCGTGATGGCTTCTCGACGTACGAGTTGCGTATCAACGATGTGATTGTGGAGGCAGCAATTGCCGTTACTAATGCAATTGCGGAGCTGATTAAGGCCGCCACCGAGTCCCAGCAGGAGATTGTTCGTGAAGGCCGGGGTAGCTCATCGAGGACGGCGTTCTACAAGAAGAATAATCGCTGGACAGAGGGACTAATCTCCGCCGCTAAGGCTGTTGCTACCTCCACCAACACTCTTATTGAGACGGCCGACGGGGTCATTTCTGGTCGTAACTCTCCGGAACAACTGATCGTGGCCAGTAACGACGTGGCCGCTAGTACGGCACAGTTGGTGGCGGCCAGTCGCGTCAAAGCGTCGTTCATGAGCAAGACCCAAGATCGCTTAGAGGCAGCTAGTAAAGCAGTGGGTGCGGCATGTCGGGCTCTGGTCCGTCAGGTACAGGAAATCATTGCCGAGCGGAACCAGGATGGTTCGGAGAAGGTCGACTACGCTAAGCTTAGCTCGCACGAATTCAAGGTGCGCGAAATGGAGCAACAGGTACGTCTTGCTTTCCCCCTTCTCTCTAGCCCTCCACCGGGGGACTCTTTCTCTACCTTCCTCCACGGATCAGTGTGGATGCTGACAGGGGTTGGTTACAGGTTGAGATTCTCCAACTGGAAAATAGCCTTGCTCAGGCGCGGCAACGTCTGGGGGAGATGCGCAAGATCTCGTACCAGGAGGACTAAATTACAGGGTATCCGAGGGGTTTGCCCCGCGTTGGACGAAGATGTCAAGCGGATATAGTGGCTAGTGAGGCTACACAGATTCAAGGGTGCGGATGTATGTTGTGCGTGGGTGTCGCAGACGAAGCTTATCCTTTGTTGGGAGGCACGGGGTTGCACCGTTCCGCCCCCCTTTGTCTTAATTCTTTTATATTTTTTACCCATCTCCTTCGTTGTAGGCCATTTTTCTCGCGTCGGTCTTGGATAGTATATACCAGTAGAAGCAATCCACTTGAGTTTCCTTTCCCCACCCTACACCTTCCCTTGTACGGCGTAGGGTAAAGCGTACCAGACGCAAACTGGCGAAAGAGGGTCCAATAGTATCAACCACACAGATGCCGCTTCGTCTTCGCCATGGACCCCAACAAGAAAGAATGAAAATGCTGCCGCGGGATGACACCCAAGGAGCTCCAGTTCATGGCTGACTGATATGGTTTCATTCGAGGACCACACGACGTTCATCAGCTAGTGTCATCTTGGCAAATTGAGCCGGGTTCAAAACAACCGATTCGATATCTTTGTTTCCGTTGTCTCCATGGAACAAAATCCAAGAGGAAGAAGCAAACGACAAATGACGCCCCCCCGACGGCTCGGCTGCGGGTTCCGCCCACGGCTTAGTGGAAAACCTTAAGTTGGTTCTTTTTTTAACTTTTGATTTCTTTGTGTTGCACCGTCTGCCCGTGCCTTCCGATTCGATCCCCGACCGTGTCTACAGTCTAGACCGAATGGGGGCTTTTCTTCATTGTATGCTACTAAAATTCTATTCCCTGCTTCGGGGCTTTCTCTTCCTTCCCCCCCCCCCCCCCTTTTTTTTCTGGAGTGTACATATATGTGGTTTAGTGATCTAGTGATCTAAATACATGCAATTGGCCCGATCCGAAGCGAGCACCAAGTCAGCCGGTCAACAGCGTCTGTTGGTTGAAACCCTAATCAACCCCCGAATGAGCAAATTCCGGTATTCGTTTCCCCGGACGTTCGCTAGGAACTTAGTGAACAACGTAATGTAAAGAAACAGAAGCCGGATGCAAAATAAGAAACGAAGAATTCACAAAGCAGTGGTAAAATACAATCTGTGAAGGAGTAAATTACAACAAAAACGTTCAATGCAGGGAAAAACGGAGTAGTCAAGGAAAGCCGTGTCTGGTATCAAATCAAGATCATGCAAGGATATCAATCATGTCATACGTGGACTGGATATGTACGAACCGGGAAAGAGAAAGAAAATGAACAAAGACCCATGAGGGGGGCAGTAAAAAGGCGTCGCCCATGAATGAAGGAACCGGAGGATGCGTCGAATGCTTGTCGCATTGCGGCTTTCTTCGCCGCTACAACAAAGACCGCATCCACCTTCGATAGCATCGGTTCCTTGGACAGCTTTGGCTGATTGTAAGCGCCATTGACGTGGAGAGTAGAAGCAAACGCTGAATATTTACGCTGGGGGTTCAGACCGCTTTGTCGTATTCGGGATGAGCTTAGGGACGTCTTCCTCAGAATGATAACGCATAGCATAGCAAGAGGAACGGTGAGTTTCCGGAATGCTTAATCAGATAATGTGGAAGTATCTGGAGCGTTGATTTCTTTTGCAGTCATATTGTTAGCATACCTCTCAAATGTATATTTGAGGAACTCCTACATTTCAGTCTCTCCAATAACGAGATGCAAGCTTTCATTGCATTATAAGAGACGCGATTCTTCTCCAACCAGTTCCCTAATAAATGGTTAGAGGCTCAACAGCAACAATATCCGGGTACTTACAAAAATTGTATGCATCCTCCACGTTACAATCTGTAGCTTGTATCAGAGCTCGTTTTTCTGCGTCATTCAGGCGAAGCCGCGTTTCCATCGTTTCATAGCAGAGCTTCTGAATATGAACACGGTAGCCGTTTCCACGGGGATCTGGTCTCCAGAAGTTGACATTTTCAACGACAGTCTTACTAGAAAGGTCAGTCATTACCGAATATACAAGATAACTTGGAACTTACGTCATATAATATTCTTGTAGACCAGCTCGGAAAATGTAATGATAACCATAGTCCTCGGTGCACTGTATGAGGTCTTCATTTGCTTTTTTCTCCATAGAAAGAAGGTCCTTGTGAAGTTGGTATCGCTTTTCGCCAGGAAGGGAATTCTCTACCGCAAGATCCAGGATGCTAACGAGCTCGATAGGATGACCTTCGAAGTCTGCTATCGTCGGGGCAATGCGAAATTCAGTCATGACTGCCTGCAAATATTTGCCATGCCGATGGGTAAGGGTATTTTTATGTTTAGATGCCCCAATAACTCGGTAATAAGGACTAATAAATACTTCTCCTTTCATCAGTCTAGAAACTTGAGCCATGAGTCGACAAGTATTCTTGTGGGAGAGGAATGAGAGACCAATATACATGGCCTTCTCCCTCTGCTCTGAAGAGAGACATGCATCATGAGCTAACGCTTCAAGGAGTCTAAGTAGGACTTTGCAAAGAGTGCCCATAGTTGAATGAGATATGATTCGTGGTCCTGAATGCTTCGATGATGTAGGTATTTTGTGATTTGGTGGGTAGCTTGTAAACAAGGATAAACTTTGAGAGACAGATAAATGAATGCGATGATGGGCTCCAAGAGTGTAACTGAAGAAATATGAATGAAGTGTTGTGTTTCCCTGGGTGACTATGAAATTAGGCGAGCCCATGTAAGCTGAGACAAACACAAAGTGACTTCAGCATTCACCACCCACGACTTAATAGACAAAGAAACATGCCAGCCTCCCACCCTTAGGTGGAACACAACCTAATTCGCCATGTCCTACCGGTCCTCTTGCTTTCTTTTCATTAGAATTATCCCACCCTGTTCACTGTCCTAAGATACCCCCTCTTACACCAGCTACTGCTTACTCTAGATGCTATGCACAATAGTTTCCGCGAGGAGATGAGTTTAGATCCTAGCGTCTTCATCACATCTTGAATAACTTATCCTTCATTTCAAAAATCAAGAATGACAACTGTACCTATAGCCATGAAGACGACTGCGGAGTCGACGGACAAGCTTACAGAGCTGCTCTGGCAGGATGCTTTGCGTCACCTCGAGTCTACAAATAATGAGGTGCTTTTGCCGATTAATGTCACGGACATGATCGGTCAAAGCAATGTCGACAAGATTAGGACTCGTCTCGGGTAAGAAGGGTTCTCGGATTTTCTAGGAATACAAGCTTACACTTGGTTATAGTGCTCTTATCAGTGCTCCTGTGGTAGCTTTTGTCGATGAGACAATCAATGCTCTCCGTGTAATGCGCACGCCTGCTTTTTCGGGCTCTGTTGTATCCGTCGCGTCTCATGACAGAATTTCGAATTTAGAGAGGGAAATAACCGAAGCATCTGGTAGAACACATGGCAAATCCACACTACCAGCGAAGTCCATCAAAGTCCCTCGGCCGCCAAATGCATTCATCCTTTATCGTCAGCATCATCATCCCAGAATCAAGGAAGCATATCCCGATTTCACCAATAACGAGATATGTAAGTTTTTCTTTCCATCTCTACTCAGCTTGGAACAAGCTAATGGCATCAGCAATTATCCTTGGAAAACAATGGAAGGCCGAGTCCGAAGAGGTCAAAATGCAATTCCGCAATATGGCGGAAGACCTTAAGAAAAAGCATGCAGAAGACCACCCCGATTACCATTATACTCCCCGCAGGCCATCCGAAAAGAAGCGCCGAGCTTCGTCCCGCCAGTACCCGAAGCCGACCAAGCGACAGAAGTCACCGGCCTTGACAAATGATACCTCTGATAGTTCCACGCCGTCGATGTACTCCGGCATGCAGCTGGATAACATGCCTATAGGTGCATCTTTGGATAATTTGGGGGATGTCGACATCGTGCTCAGCCCTGATAAACTGCCTGGAGATTATGGGCTGCAATTCGACTCGGGTGCCTTCGATACTTTTCTCCAGCAAGTACAGAGCGACTGTGGCAAGTCAGCCGCTACTTTGTTCCCACAGTTCAACTTCACGGAAAGACCTGTGGGAGAGTCTTTCGAATTTTCGGATTTGATTGCTGACTGTTACTAAAGAACCATATGATGACACATGATCTGAACTTTCTTCCTTCTATTACTCCCTTTACCCTTGACTCTCCTTTTCTATCTCACTTGATTTTCTCTGTTTGCGCTTATGCTGATTTCTCATGATTCTCAACATACATTTCCATTTTCTGTACACATATTGCATATTCTATACCTAACCTTGTGTTCATGCCGTTTCCTCATCAACCTGGTGTATTTTACAACGGTTTTGTCCCACGATATCCTTTTCGGATGGATGGAGTTGATTATTTAAAGCATAACAAGCCTTCAGCATGATGTTGCTATCGCAGTTTAAATATTCAGATATTCGAGAATAGATGAATCAAAGATACCGACCAAACCTCATACTTCATACACAGATACTACTGGGCCAAATAAAGCAAAAGAGATCTAGCCACTTCCCCACATTGCACCCCAACCAATGATGTTCTGCTCCGCTTTGACAGATGATGTTCATGCCAAGTCTTTCACTATTGTCTATACTATAAAACAAGTACATTGCACCGGAAATGGTATCTCCAATGTAGTCGTATCATATGAGAGAGTAGCGAACCGAATTGGTATCATACAAAAACTCCAAGCATCAAATTAAGTCACATGAAGTGAGAAATTTCATGTCAGGGATTCCAGTCACTAGCCCAGATAAAAGTTGCACATCGCCACTGCGTTCCCTTTTCTTTATTTCCACTGGGCCCCAAGGGTCGTGGGCAGATCCAAAAGGACCGACCACAGTTAATACCGGGCTTTTTTGTTGACAAACTAATACATGGTTCTTGGTGCCCTTCACACATTGGCACTGGTTTCTTTGCAAAGAGTTTCGACCAATCTTCCTTGCTGACAATGGGGTCAATGACTGTTTCGCTATCCTGGTCCGCAAATGGAGCCGCGCGTCCGGATAAGTCAATATTGCTCGTTGGAGCGGCTGGGACGCTGCATATGCTTTGTAGATCCTTCTGTTCCTCTGGCCGCGATATGTTCGAAGACACAGGAAGGGGGTCGGGCGAACGTCTCATAGCCTGCACAGGCATATCCGGGGTTCCTGTTTCACTTGTTTGACTACTAACAGTACCTTTAGGCTTAAAAAACCCCTTCAGAGTTCTCTGTGCAGAAACAGAGGTTGCTCTGGTCTGAGAAGGAAGGGATTTCGAACGCTTGACTGAAGGTGGGGGCGCGCTTTTCTCGGACCGTTTACGAACGATGCCTTTAGACGCTAGGTTTCTGTCAGCAATAGAGAGCGATGGGTTGCTAGCTCCAAGAGAGTTCTCTATTGCATCACTTCCATGTACTTGGTTCCGGGCTGACGCGGATGTGGTCATTGCTGAAGTGGTGGGTGATTTCTGCGAGGAATTATCTGGCTTTCGCAAGAACATATCTTTGATACTTCTTCGTTTGTCGAACTCCGGTATTAAGCGCCCGGATGTAGGCAAAAGATGTTTTGTTGTGTACTCCTGTCGCCGTTCACCATTGTCGAACATCTCGGATGGGTTCATGATATCAAGCATGTTAACTTGTTGCCCATCTAAACATACGGAGTTTTTGAATATCGCGTATACTGGACAGTGATCCGATCCCTGTGCCCTGGTCAGCCCTGGCATCCCCCACCAGTTTACAACGGCAACTTACCATGAGTCCCTCTTGTATATTTGAATCACAAAACCAATCTTGCATATTCAAGCTGCACAAGACATAGTCTATCCTCGAGCCATAGTTACCAGGCCGAGCGTTGATCTTCTGCTCCCAACAAGTATACATGCCCCTGCGATTCGGGTGGAAGGACCTGCAAATATCAAAGAGAGCAGGTTGCTCCCTTCCTTCATCTCGCTCGCCGATCACCTTTCCACTATATAACAGTTGGTTGAACAAGCGCCGGGCTGGTGCGGATATAAACTCATCTTCTGTTATGGTGCTTTTACGAATGGCCTCGGACGCGTGTGCTGCATCGATTTCACCTCTTGAAATATTGAGGTCACCAGTAACAAAAACTCTTTTTCCCATGGCGACGAGATTCCGAATTCGGGCATCCATTAGGTCAAGAAAGCCCTGACGGAAACTGTCGCGACTTTCATCCCGATTAGCAGGGCAATATAACCCAAATAGGACAAATGCTGGAAATTCAAGGATGACACAACGGCCCTCCGAGTCGAGTGTAGCTGCATCCAACTCAACTGTTAATAATTGCTCTGGGGTTGGGTAACCACCAATCTGCTGGTCATGAGGAAGATCCCGGAATGAGACGGACGAATTTGGCGGGCAAAGTACACCGGTAAGGCCCTCTTCAGCGCGGATTGGGGCACATGTCGCATTGCGGGTGTATATAACTACGCCAGAATAGCCTGCGGAGTGTAAGAATTCAGTTAGTGGCTATGGCCTGGGAGAGACAAACCCTTCTTAAACTTAGGTAGACTGAAGTAGCAGTCCCATCCAGGCACCAGGACCATGTCATCTCGGAGATCTTTTCGCTGAATTTTGGTTTCCTGAAAGACAACAATATCGGCCTCTAGGATCTCAAACATGGCCTTTTGTATTTCAGCCTACGCATCTAAACTCTTGCATGTTGGGAATGTATACCTCGAAAGTCCGCTTGCCTCTCCATGGCTCATAGGCAAACGGATTTCTACAGAAGACTCAGTACAAAAACAGGTAGTAAGTATACGGGAAAGATTGTACGATACCGGATTCCATTTACTGTTCATGATTATCAGTTTCTTGAAACATTATGTTCTTTCATAGCTAGCTTAAGCTTACCATTCCACGTAGTAATGCGAAACCCCATTCTGACTGTTGTCGTCTAGAATCAACATATCCACGGCAGACTCAATGTGCACTCCAAAAGGGAGCTATATGCGTAACCACCATCGATATGGGTAAAATTAAAGCACGGAGACAAGGCAAGGAATGTGTCGTACTAACGTACATACATGTACGCCATCCAGTGGGATGGTCGAGTAGCACGTGACCAAGCCTAAGGTGACATCACGCGGTGCTGACTAACAACGACAGCGAATCACGGGGCCGCTAAACCTCGTCAACCGGAAGGCCCGACGTCCGTATAATCCCACCGTCTGTTCAACCGCAGAAGACGTCCACCTTCGACCTGTCAGGCCGCAACCACCATGTTCCCTCAACGCAATATCCTTCGTCTTGCTCAGCGTTCTGCGCAGCAGCAGCGTTCCGCTCCGGTTCGCTCTGCCATTCAGCGCCGGTTCAACAGCACCGACTCCAAGCTTCCCTGGATGGTCGACAACGAATTCAACCGTGAGAGAGCGGCTGTCAAGCACCATGCTGCCTCCACTAGTGGTGCGTACATTCAATTGGCTCGCTGTCAAGCTTGACTTGATGCCTGTGGGGAGAATTTGCATAATACTAACACAATGCGTCTTTAGATCTCTGGCGCAAGCTCTCCATCTAGTGCG